CACACACACAGCAGCATGTTTACATAGTTAAGTAAAGGAAAACTAAATTTTTTTTTAAAAGGGGAATATTGTCTAAGACCGTGGAATTGGATCTGAATGTTTGACGTCCTGAGGCTTCAATTATCTAGCAAAAACCAACCAATACTCACCTTTCACAGTTGTTTGGAGTGTAATGTAACCTCATATAAATGCTTAAGCAGGGGTATTAGTACACATGACGTGCAATACTGATTTCTGGGAACTAGAAGAAAAGCAAATTAGCACTGGGGTTAAGAGTTTGGGTTTTGGAATTGAATATGGATTTTGATTCCCAGTTCTGTTGCTTACCTAGTTATTTAATTGTGGATTTTACTTAACTTTTCTTCCTTTGTTTCTCCACTTTTAAAATAAGGACAATAATAGTGCCTACCTCAGAGGGTTGTTGAGGGTAAAATAATATGCTCAGTGTAGTCTAGCACAAAGTAGGCGTTCGTATATATCTTGGCTCTTGTAGAGCGTGTGACTTAAGTTATCGGCAAAATTAAGTGCCTGGAACAGTAACCACTTTTTTCCTATATATAAGGATAGCTTTTAAGAATTTTTTTTTTAATAATCGGTTACTGTTAAGCTTCATGCTGTCTGTCATCTGTAGAGTCATCTGTGGGATATTTGCTATGATTAGTCATCAAATGTAGCCTGCATCCTTGATATGAAGTTGGAAATCAGAAGAAATGGGAAGGAGGTGTGATGGATAAATTTTTCTCTATTTCTTGAATTTTGTTTAATTTTTTTTCCTTTTTTTTTCTCCATGGTAGCTTTACAGAGTATCAGTAATCTCTCTCCAGATTCTTTCCATTTTCATTGTCTGTTCCTGAAAAAAATATAAAGTTGGTGGTTTTGTTGTACCAAGTCTTACTCTTTCATTGAATTCCATTTTGATTTTGAGGAGGAAGAAAATGCTCTATGTTTCAAATTTGTATGTAGGTAGGTGTGTGTGTGAGGAGGATGGGGGGTTGTGAGAAAAGGTAGGCATTCACAGAAAGCCTTCCTTGACCAGTATCCTGAATCATGCACCACAGAGAGCCAGCGTCCCATTGTATTCTTTCACAGATTTAGAGAGGATGTTTGCACCTTGTACTTGTGAGGCCTCCAAGCCTAATGCTTTGTAGGAGTACCCTGCTTTATCTCCCTTTAATCGGTTCACTGCTCCTCGAGTCCCAGAAATAATCCTCATATTGCTCAGATGATTCCAAGCCCAGTAGAGTGTAGACATGTAAGCTTTCTAGATTCTGTAGCAAAAGGAGCTTGAAATTTAAAGAATGGTATTTACTTCTTTCTGGTCTTTTTCAGAAGTTGAGTACTTGACAAGAGGAAGGACATAAAGTGTGTGGCACCTTCTTCCTTAAGATTCTCCTTGTTTTCAGTCTCCACCTGGGAGCATGAGGACGTCCCCCTCATATGAATGTTGCAGCTAAGTCTGTGCTGAACTTGGCTCTTAGCCTGTGTTGTACCCACCTAACCTCTGATGTTCATCTTCTCTAATATCCCTCAGGTTACTGAGTATCTGAACTGGATGGGTCTGGGGATATGCTGAGTTAAATGTTGTATGGAAAATTTGTTTGTTGCCCATTTACTTGGCATTTGAAGGGTCTTGAATGCAGTATAAAATGAAGGTAAAAAGTACCTCATCCATGTTTAAAACTGTATGGAAAGATCACACACACAGACCAATTTCTGATCTCTAGGAACGTCAATTTAGCGACACAGCGACAGACAGAGGAACAATTTTAAGAAAGCCAAATACAGTAGCTGCCATACAAGAAGAGAATTAAAAAGCCTAAAGATAAACATGAACAACCCCTTTCATATATTACATCCTATGCACATACTATCGTGATGGACCCCCCATCTCAGAGACCTCCCTCCAGCATGCCTCCTCCTTAACTAGGGCACGTAGGAACCTGGACAGGTTTTTTGTTTTTTTTCTTTATTTTCGAGGGTTACAAGAAAAATGATATGTATTCTTTCTCAAAAGAAGTATGGAGGCTAGTCAGTTCAATTCATGGTCTCTTGAGCAGTTCAACAGTGTCCTCAAGGACCTGGGCTTTTTCCGTTTTCTGTCCTGCTGTCCGCAGTGTGCAGGCTTTCTCCTCATGCTCGTGTCCCCATTGCTGCAACGTGACTGCTACTTCTCCGTGTAGCCATTTGTCACACAACCGTGGCAAGGTTTTACATGGCCATTCTGGGGATCCGCCCGCATGCTCTTCTTTTCTCAAGCCGGGGAGGAACTTAATTTGCGAGGGTAGCATGGGAAACAAATATGAAACTGATTTTTGAAGAGGTTTTACTAATATATCTTGAGCATTTGTGCAAATTAAGTGGCTGTATTTTTGAATATGTAAATTTATATGCTAAGTGACACATGTATGTTCCAAAGCCAGGGCAGTCCTGACATATGTGAGGATTCAGGATATGATTTACTTCACCAGATCCCTAAAAAAATATATGAATACTTGACACTGTTCTAATTTTTGGTTTTTTGTGTGTGCGTATATGTTGACAGTTTCCTCTAAATCTGTTCATGTTAACCTCATTTAATTTCTTATTTTGATGGTATAGTTGCCCATACCCATGACCTTCAGACTTGTAGATACTTAGTGAATGCTGTTGTATTCAAAATAGACCTTCTCAGAATTAACACGCTGGGAGAAAGTAACAAGTAATAGACCCTGGAGTTAATGTTTTGGTTGCACTGAAATTACTTTCCTGCTCTTTATGGTGTGAGACTTACTCAGAGCCCTCTTTCATAAGCTTAGCTTGTACAGGAACAGAGCACAAGCTGGCCAGCTACCCAGACAGGTCACTTGGTTCTCTGCAGCTTTGTCTAGTCATCCAAACACAAAGCATGTTGGACTAAGGTCTGTCTTTCTGCTGTTTCCATGTTAAGTAAGCCATTTTCTCTGTTTAGGTCAAGCCCATGTCCTCCGGAATCTTCCCTCTAATCCTCTAGGCCACTGACAAATGGGTTGCTCCACAGCCTGTGTCCACGGTTTTAGCCGAATTGAATTCTAAGCAGTTTTCCTTAACTTACGTTAACAAGGCTTTCAAATCTGGACATAGAATCATACTATCACATGATGGCCTAAGACTATAATTTTTACAAACAAGAATGTGTTTTTTGAAAAAGGCATTTTCCTGGATAAAGACTTTATCTCATCTTTAGTTTATTCAATACTCTCAATTCCTGACCAGCTTCTCGGTTTGAACTGTTTATTCCAGTACCTACTTCTCTAACTGTAATCCTTTAGTCTCACCATTCTGGGCATCTACAATTACACCTTGCTTTTATTCACAGTTTACTTTGCTCGTCATTACTCATTGGTCCCCGACTTGTGCATTATAAGCACATTTAGTTCCATCATATTTTTTGACACACTGAGACTGACATTGTGTCTACCATTAAATGGTTAACATATTTTGCTGTGCAATGAAGAGGGCTCCATTTATCACACAAAAATATCTAACGTACTGACTTATTCAGTGGTTTATAAAGATTAAGGCTTAATTTTGCCATTTCTTTTGGAAGATTCTTGTCAGCAACCCTCCTAGTATATGTGATTTGCAAGTGAAACTCAGGCAAGCCAGGCATAATAGGAAGATTATATATATATATATATATATATATATATATATATATATATATAGAGAGAGAGAGAGAGAGAGAGAGAGAGAGAGAGAGAGAGAGAGAGAGAGAGTTGGCTCCTTCAAAGGTTGTTTCCCATTTTTAAAGGGGAATTTCAAAAAATGGACTATAATGAATTTGTAATTGTATTCACTAATGTCTCAGTACTTTTGAGTTATTGAAACCATCCATTAGTAATGATCAGTTTTCCTTAATAATCATTTATGATATTTTTTAACCTACTCTTTTGTAATCTGGTAAGAGTGTAAAGGGTTTAGAAGCCAGATCTATGACGGAAGGCAGAAAATGACAACACTGAGATAGTAAATAAAGAAATATGCTGTCGTAGTTTTCATTTCACATTCCCCATGTTACTTGTGATGAGCTTAAGAGGTTTCATTCTTGAATAGGAAAAAAATTTTAATTATTCACACTGCTTTGGTGTACTATAAAAGTTGAATTATTAACACCTATAATTTGTTCAGATAGAATTCAGTGGGAAAATATATCAGAGATAATTGTTTTCAAGAATGATAAGTTAGATATATCTACAGAGAGCAATCAAAAAGAGTAGCAGTAAGGTATTGAATGCTTTTTCAAGAAAAAAAAATTCTGTTCCATTTTTAAATGTTAGCAATTGCGAGAGGAAAACTCCCACTTGGGAAGAGTGTTGTCCAGGTTGCTTCATTGCCAGGTGTTGGACATTGCGTGGCGTCTTAGATGAAGAAGGCTTATGGCAGCCTTCGGGAATGACACACTCCAAGGACCTCAGCTTCCTGCTGTGGAAGCTTCTATTTCCTAAGCACACCAGTTTCACTGGGAATGTTCCAGTGGTCTCTCTGCTGTTTTTAGTGAAGTCCAAAGTTTTTCCCCCTGAATCTCAAATAGCTACAGAAGAGGATACCTGTCTGCTAACAAAATACATTTCAGAGTGTTTGCAATGAATGAACTGCATGTTCCCTACTGTGTATGGGCCTCCACTCTCTCATTTATTAATGGAAATAAACCTTGCCTTCTTTTGGTCCCTTTAACACATGGTCCCTTTGGCATGCTACAGATATGATTTACAATCATTCCAAAGTTTAAAAAAAAAAAACTCTAAATGATAGGATAGTTGGCTTTGAGACCATCCACATTTTTCCCTTTCCCTTTTTCTCTCTCCTTGACCTAGCAGCAGGAAGCCTTTGTTTGAGGTGTTCATCTGGAACAACTTTTCCACACTTGTTTTCATGTTCTGTTAGATTACAGGGCAGCAGGCCTACCTTTGAAGCTCCTTTCTCTTTTGTTTCTTTGCCGTGCACTCCAGTAATTAACTTTGTCCTTCTTTTATTTGTTCCAGTCAATCGCAGGCCACTCTGCTGAGCATCTTCTCCCAGGAGTACCAGGTTAGAAGTTTTCTCCTTTGTGAGGGTTGACAGGTGCCTAATTGAATGATGAATGTCCCTTTATTTCTTTGTAATTGAACTGCCAGCTCTCTGATTGGGTTGGAGGATGTTCTCCTTTCCACATCAAGCACCGCCTGCGTCTCAGTGGAGGCCTGCCAAGCCTACCCATCCATCTGTCTAATAACATCTAGCCTTTGCTTATTTGGTGGACCTGTAATAAATTATGCTAAACCATTATTATTCTGACAATAATAATTTCCCTGTGTTGCGTGGTTCCATGTGCTAAATGTTTGCTGACTTGCACTGTCAGTGCCGCTTTCCATTGCTGACAGAGATGATGATAAATGACCATTGCTGGAGTGGCAGAAGGCAAGAGAGGCAGAAAATGGAGTCATTTATCATGAGATGACAGGTGTCAGTCAAGTGGCAAGTCTCTATGGAATTACTTTTTGTAGTTTTCAAATAAGTTGTTTTTAAGCAATGTTCGTCCTGGTTAAAAATGGCAATTGGATTGTAAAAATAGAGCACAGAGGACTTAGATGGAATTGAATTGAGGGAAAATTAATATAAAGGTTGAGAGAGGGAACAAGTTTTTTTTTTTTTTGCCCTCTGCAACCCCAAGCAAACTTATTTAGATTCAATTACTATGACCCTGTTGGCTTTTACATACATACTGTACCTTGTAGTACAGTCTGAAGTCATCCCAGCCAAGCAATGGAGATTAAAATGCATAGATTCGTAGAGTAGAAGGAAAAAAGACCTACCACCACCCAAATTCCCAATGCGTTATTTAGTTTGACCTATATGCTAGACGTTGGGATGAAGAAATGTCATTTTTGTTCTTGAACCTCATCTGTGACACAACATAAAGATCTTTTTTGTTTTGTTTCAGAAACATATTAAAAGAACACATGCCAAGCATCATACGTCAGAAGCGATTGAAAATTATTACCAGAGGTATGACCCGCCTGCCCCACTAGAGGGTATCAGAGTACCTATTAATTGTAATAATAATTATGAATAAATTAGGTTACTAAATTAATTTTCTATATAACATTGCAAAGCATTTTGTTTTAGGTCTGTTATTTAAGACTTCAAATATATTTTTGAATGATTCCTGAAGTACTTTGTTTTGTAGATCTAAAGAATATGATGAGACTGTCTTGATTAAGTGCATGTATACATACTATATAGGAAATCGTTAAAATATTGTGAAATCTCAATTGACTACCGGGAAGTTATTCTAAGTGTGTGATTTGTATAGGTCCTTATGTTCATATGTACATATGTTCACTCATGTATGTGTGAAGTTTTCAAACCAGTTTTCATGTATTTTTTATTTAGATCATCAAGTTGAAAAATATATTAGAAAATATAATTGACTTTTGATGCAGTTGTATTTTATATCATAGATACTGGATTAGCCATTTTAGAAAAAATAAGACATATATCAAGTAAAGACATATGGAGATATATCATAGTGCACAACTGTTACATTTTAAAAGGCGTTTTGTATTTTGAAAAAGAAAATCTTGGGTATTAAATCAACACCATAGTGTCCAGGGGATATTTTAATTTCAGCCTGAATTATTATAAATAGTTTTCAAACTCTGTTCTAAAACAACAGAATATTTAAAATAGTTCTTTTATAAAAATTCTAAAAGTCTTTTTGGCTTTATGATGACTGATAATTTATAATGGTATATGGTAATGGTTTGCTTTAGAAATTATTGGTTGGTTTCTTAAATATTTCAAGGGCATATTAATATGGAAAGGAAAACTGTTTGAAATATGCTCTTAAATTATTACACTTAAGATTGACACATCAACCTTTCTGTGGTGAGAGTGACACCACTAATTTCAGATGAATGATTTTTGTGCATGAAAATTTTATGAATGAAATTACTATATAGATAAAATATTGGTGTCATGCTTCTGTAGTCATTTTTTTAAGAATTAAGTGTTTATTGAAAATAAAAGTTATTGAGGTTAGATTTTTTTTTTAAATTATGCGGTATGCTATGCATGATAATAGATATGTTCAGGTTTTAGCAGTAGTATCTGTTAAAGATATGCGCACACACCTATACATACTCGTATACACACACACACACACACACACACACACACACA